GTGGCCAGAGAACCAGGTGGGAGACGTGTTCCAGAAGCCAAGAAAGAAGTAAAACAAAGGAAAGGAAGAATGACAACTGTCCAATGCCACAGCAGGCACGGGGAGTGCCACGACCACTGAGATAGGAGGCAACTGGAATCTTTCAGTATGTTTAGTGTTCATTATTCTGAGAGTGATGATCTCCACTACATTTCTCTTTGTGATTCACACCTGTGTCATCCGCAGTACTCAGGAGGACAGCTTTACATAAACAATTGTCTCCAGTCTGAGTTGAGGCAGCCTGTGAAGTGTGGCCAATGTGTTTTCCTCTCACCGGGGTACACTCCAGCCCTGCAGGAGATCCCCTCACTGAGAAGACAGCAGGAGATAGGATAGTGCTGGGCCAGCTTTGCGTACGCTCCACTCGTTCCAGTCTGAGTGAGCATAGGCAGTGGAACCATTGTGAGTCCTAGTTTTTCCATAGCCATAAAGCTGAAATGTGGTAACATTCATGGCATGCTACCAAGGACAATGTTTGGAAAACAGTATTTTCTCAAAAGGTGTTTCCTTCTTCCTCTTTTCTTCTGCTACTAGAGGCATACCTTGTTTTATTGCATTTGCTGATATTGCATTTTCATCAACATCAAAAAATAATCCAACCAGCAAACAGATTAGGACTCACCGAATGCTCAGATGATAAGTTTTTTAGCAATAAAACCTTTTTATGAATTAATGTATATACACTGTTTTAATAGACATAATGCTACTGCACACTGAATAGGCTACAGTAAATCCTCACTTAATGTTGTCGATAGGTTCTACCACCTAAAGTGAAATGACATAACATAACCAATTTTACCATAGGCCAGTTAATATACACAAGAGTTAGGTTCCTACAGTATCTCTGTTACAATGGAACAACGCTGAACAAACGATGCTATACTAGGATGTGCTGTATAGTGTACACACAGCTTTCATATGCACTTGGAAATTCATATGTGTGACTCACTTTATTGCGCTTTTCACTTCATAGTAGTGGTTTGAAACCAAACCCATGATATCTCCAAGGTATGCCTGTACTAGTCTAAACCACCACTTAAAAAGCCAGGCTTGAGTGAAGCAGACATGTGGCCAAGTTGGTGTTCAGCTACCTTCTTCTCCAGGTTTCAAGGCCTGAAGACAAAGATGTGCAAATGCCCACAGTACTTAAGCTTCCTTCCCAGGGCCACAGAAGCCTCAGCAAAAGAGATGAAGATTCTAACATGAATCACATAAGCAGACACAGCAAGTAAATCTTCACTAGCTCTCATCTCAAATACTTACTCCAGGCAAACAGTTCCTCTACTCCTTAGCCACCAAGCCCCTAAAACTTCCACGTGTAGCCATGCATGACTGTCACGCTACTCCATTCAACTCTGATGGAAGAGGCAAGAGTCCCTGGAGTCAGTTACCTGCTTCACGCCAAGGTTATGAGAATGTGACCCATTGCTTACCTTCTCGATGTCTACAAGTTCAGTCTCATAAATCTCAGCAATAGTAATGTGGTGTTTGGCTGCGATTGTAAACCTTCCCTGGGGGAAAACAAAAAACAGAGTTACATTCCTGTTTTACCTATTTTAATGCCAATCAGTTTAGGAACAAGATAAAAAAAAAAATACAACTCTAAGCCATTTCAAGGAGTCCACCCCACAGTCACTCAAGCAAGGTAATGTCTTACCATGTCTGTGTAAATGTCGATGGCTGCATTTAAGCAGTTGATAGCCTCTGAAGCGTAGGCATTTAAGAAAAACAATGAAAAATCCATTCAGTCAAAGAGGGTTCAAGTGAGCCTATTTTCCTAGCTGCTACTAGAACATTAAGGAGGTCCCATTTGGGGCGGAGGGTGGGCATATTCGTTAATGAGAAACAAACATGAATCATACACAAGTCCAGGCCCCCTCAGCATGCTCTGTCTGTAGCAGCTGCAGTACAACTTAGGGAACTGGAGCTAGAGTGGTATTGGCTCGGTTACTCTTAATCTACGAGTGAGGACTCCATCCAGGGGAGAGATTGCATTATAAAGCAAACAAATGGGACTGTCATCAACACCCATCATTTACACCTGCTAAAACACAAATGTAATTGTATTTTTCAGTGACATCATGTATATACAGTATATTAATTTTGGAAGAAAGTTCTCTATAAGAAAGATGACTTCAATAGACTACTCTTCATGCAGCCAAAATCAAAGCACTTTGAAATCCCTGTTCAGACAACTCTTAAGTCAACATTTTGTACAATGTTAAAGATACTAACTTTTGGTGTACTAACATACACCCAAAAGGAATAAAAAAATCTAGTGACAGTGTTGATAAAGTATATTATTTTTCCAAAAGTTAGGCTGTGTTCAGAACCAACACACCATCACAAAATGGTGGTGTTTATAATTCTGGCACATGTCTGACAGCTCCACATTTATTGCTTCTAGAAGAGAGGTGGCAGAGTAAAAAGGCCTAACTAAAAAATCAGAAAGTAGATGAACAAAAGTTAAAAGCAATTTCCTCCTAAACTATGTAAGAAATGTGAATTCACTGTCGCTCCCTTAAAATTACAGGAAAATATAAAGAGAAAAATAAGCTACCTATGATCCCACTCAAACCCACTCTCATGTTTCCAGTCTTTTCTAGGTGCATTTTTATGTGCACAGACTTTATTATGAATTTGAGATCTCAATTCTCATGTGGTTCTTCAGTTACCATGTAAACATTGACCAGGTCAATAAAGATTCTCTGAAATCAAAGACTGTAGTAACTGCATCATATTCTACAATACTGATGTATTATAACTTTACCATTTCTTTATATATATATATATATATATATATATATATATATATATATTTCAGAGAGGAAGAGAGGGAGAGATAGAAACATCAAGATGAGAGAGAATCACTAATTAGCTGCCTCTTGCATGCCCCCTACTAGGTATTGAGCCCACAACCTGGGCATGTGCCCTTGACCAGAATCGAACCCGGGACCCTTTAGTCCACTGGCTAGGGGTACCATTCTTTTTTTTTTTTTTTTTAATATATTTTATTGATTTTTTACAGAGAGGAAGGAAGAGGGACAGAAAGTTAGAAACATCGATGAGAGAGAAACATCGATCAGCTGCCTCCTGCACGCCCCCTACTGGGGATGTGCCCGCAACCAAGGTACATGCCCTTGACCAGAATCGAACCTGGGACCCTTGAGTCCGCAGGCTGACGCTCTATCCACTGAGCCAAACAGGTTAGGGCTAGGGGTACCATTCTTATCTCATTGCTCATTTAGGCTGTGTTCAGTTTTTCACTTTTGGAAATCAACCGTGGTCAATCTCTACACAAAAACTCTTAAAAATATCTTATTTCTGTATGATATAATCATAAAAGTTGGAATTTCTGTTAAAATGGACTGCTAAAAGAAAAAAGAGAAATCCCACAGCTACCAGTGCATGTGTGAGAGGGAAGGAATTAATGCTTTCAATTGTTAAATGTGCACTCCTCTAATTAAAAGAAATACAACATTTGCAAAATTTTACCACTTTAAATATCCAACTTCTCTCTTTTCTTAAAACAAGTACTTTGAAAAACATTTTAAAAAGTCAGATGAATAGTGTGTAAATAAGTTGATTTTAATCAGCAGATACTGCCCTGACAGGGTAGCTCTGTTGGTTAGTGTTGTCCCGATATGCTAAGGTTGCCAGTTCAATCCCCGATCAGGGCACATATAAGAATCAACCAATGAATATATAAATAAGTGGAACAGCAAATTGATGTTTCTCTCTCTCTCAAAAAACAAACAATAACAAAAAAACCAACATCGGATATTCTAATTTCCCAATAACTGGATCTTAAAACGCGCTAAGTATTTAAGAGTGAGGAAACATGGCGTTTCTTCTAATAAGCAATATACATATTCATAAAATTAGAACATAATAAGTCTTAGATAAAATTAAAGCTAATTTCCAAAAAGTTCTCCAAAATGCAATATAAATGAAGTTTAAGAAAATGCTATTAAGCAACTAAACCACTAGGTTAAATTTAACATATCTTCTCTTCATTAAAGCTGCAAATGATTAAACAACAATTCTTAAAAGTTACCGAAATCTCTATTATTCCAAAGTACAAAAGTTTATTTTTATCAGTGCTCTAAAGGCCCAGCAGTCTAACCTGTGAAAAAGGTCACCAACTTCAGCCCTACCATCCTAGAGCAGCGATTTTCAACCTTTCATCTCATGGTACACATGAACTAATTAGTAAAATTCTGTGGCACACAAAAAAATATAGTATACTTTTTGCTGATCTGACCAAAAAAAAAAAAAGGTATAATATTGATTCATTCACACCGGACAGCTATTGTTGCGTTGGCTACTGTCATTTTTAAAATTGGACAATTTAAGAGAAAAGAGCTCAGTGCCCCTATCTAAATAGTCAGGTACTGCATGGTTTAATAAAAATTACTGTGGTTCACCAGTATGCCATGGCACACAGGTTGAAAATCGCTGTCCTAGACAGAGGTGTGTCTTACCGTGAGGGTCTGCCTTTTTGTAAGCATTCCCAGCATCCACAAAGCTGGTGGCAGAATCATGTTTGCTCTGAAGCTGCATATGGAGTTTGGCTGCCTGACAAAATGCATTTCCTGCAGCTGAGGAAGATAAATTATTACAATTAAACAGAGAGGAACAAGTATCCCTACAGAAAAGCCCATGCCCTAAGGGCTAGAAAGTTCCATGCCACTGAAAGAAGTATTCCAGTCGGAAGCACATGGAAATGCAATCAATGCATCTTAGGTATATATAAAAATAGCCAGAATCAAGTCAAACAGTGATAGAAGCTTCTCTCAGCCACAGAAGACCTCCCAAGTGGGCTCTAGGCCAGTGGTCGGCAAACTGTGGCTCATGAGCCACATGCGACTCTTTGGCCCCTTGAGTGTGGCTCTTCCACAAAATACTGATTTCTGCGCATGGGCCACGAAGTTTCAATCGCACTGTATGTGCGCGCCTGCACGTGGTATTTTGTGAAAGAGCCACACTCAAGGGGCCAAAGAGCCGCATGTGGCACGAAAGCCGCGGTTTGCCGACCACTGCTAGGCTATCAGCTTCCATTCAATAGCGACAGCCTAGTACCAGGCCACTGAATTTTATCCCACAGCGCATACTGAACACTGACTGGCAGACTGAAGCTACTAATGCTTAAAGAAAGGTAAAACACTGAGGTCATCTATCTCTCTTACAGTGTCCCCTGGACTTAGTTGTAATTGTTGAAGAAATTGCTAATGAAGGCTTCATGGACAAAGGAAGTTTCTCAAAGAGTGATAATTAGGCCTTCAATTGTGGAATCCAAAGTTTTTTCTTAAGTTCTGGAATAGGAAAGTTAGTACTAACAGGGATGGAGAAGAAAGGATTTGTTCCACTAGGAAAAGCACAATTAAGAATATCACAATCAATAACCAAGATGGCAGCATAGGTAAACACCGGAGACTGCTGCCGCAAACAACCACTTCAAAAATACAACTAAAAGACGGAACAGACATCACCCAGAACCACAGGAAAGCTGGCTGAGGAGAGACTCTTCAACTAGAAGGAAAGAGAACAGCATACCGAAGCTCAGAAGAGGCGCAGTGTGGAAAATATAAAGGTACCGAGGTGCGTGCGCAAAGTGGGCTGGTGGCTGAGGGCGCGGTTGTCGTTTTCAATCAGGAGGGAGTCTCAGACTCTGGGCTCCAGATCCGGGCGAGTCTCTAGGGACTCAGACTCAGACGGGAGAAGCGGGATTGTCCAGCATCAGTTGGAATCTGAGGGCATCCTTCTCTCCGAGGTTTGCAGTGGCGGCTGGGGTTCTGAGAAGCAGAGCCTCTAGGACCGGGACTGAGAGCAGCCATAACTGCTCCCTCCACCCGCCCTGTTGATCCCGCCCCGCCCAAGCCCTGCACAGAGCCATTTGCTGGATCACCTCAGGCAAAGGCTAGATTAGCACCTCCCCAGAGGACAGAAGTTTTCCACACAGCTGATTCTCACAGCCGGTCAGCCTGGTGGTCAAATCCCTCTAGTATTAACTACAACAATCAGGGCTTAACTACAACAAGACTGCGCACAAAGACTACTAGGGGGTGTACCAAGAAAGCGTAAAAAATGCGGAGACAAAGAAACAGGACAAAACTATCAAGGGAGGATATTGAGTTCAGAACCACACTTTTGAGGTCTCTCAAGAGGCTTCTAGAGTCTGTCGATAAACTTGATGAGATGTACAGGAAATCTAATGAGACCCTCGATGGTGTGATAAAGGACCATCTAGAAAGTAAGCATACACTGACTGAAATAAAGAATATTATACAGACTCCCAACAGCAGACCAGAGGAGCGCAAGAATCAAGTCAAAGATTTGAAATGCGAAGAAGCGAGAAACACCCAACCAGAAAAGCAAAATGAAAAAAGAACCCAAAAATACAAAGATAGTGTAAGGAGCCTCTGGGACAGCTTCAAACGTACCAACATCCGAATTATAGGGGTGCCAGAAGATGAGAGACAGCAAGATATTGAAAACCTATTTGAAGAAATAATGACAGAAAACTTCCCCCACCTGGTGAAAGAGATAGACTTACAGGTCCAGGAAGCGCAGAGAACCCCAAACAAAAGGAATCCGAAGAGGGCCACACCAAGACACATCATAATTAAAATGCCAAGGGCAAAAGACAAAGAGAAAATCTTAAAAGCAGCAAGAGAAAGAAAGTCAGTTACCTACAAGAGAGTACCCATACGACTGTCAGCTGATTTCTCAACAGAAACTTTGCAGGCCAGAGGGAGTGGCAAGAAATATTCAAAGTGATGAATGCCAAGAACATACAACCAAGATTACTTTATCCAGCAAAGCTATCATTCAGAATTGAAGGTCAGATAAAGAGCTTCACAGATAAGAAAAAGCTAAAGGAGTTCATCACCACCAAACTAGTATTATATGAAATGCTGAAAGGTATCCTTTAAGAAGAGGAAGAAAAAGAAAAAGGTAAAGATATAAATTATGAACAACAAATACACATCTATCAACAAGTGAATCTAAAAATCAAGTGAATAAATAATCTGATGAACAGAATAAACTGGTGAATATAATAGAATCAGGTGCATAGAAAGGAGTGGACTGACAATTCTCAGGGGGGAAAGGGGTGTGGGAAGAGACTGAACAAAAATTGTGCACCTATGGATGAGGACAGTGGTGGGGGTAAGGGCAGAGGGTGGGGTGGGAACCGGGTGGAGGGGAGCTATGGGGGGAAACAAGAGGAACAACTGTAATAATCTGAACAATAAAGATTTATTTAAAAAAAAACAGTGTTGGACTTTGTCAAATGATTTTTCTGCATCAATTGATATGATCATGTGATTTTTGTCTCTCAATTTATTTATGTGGTGTATCATGATTATTGATTTGTGGA